TGGACCAAACACTATGACTTCAGTCTTGTCAGAGTTTAGCTGGAGAAAGTTGTTTTGCATCCACACACTGATCTGTTGGATGCAGTGACAAAGTGAGTCCACTGGTCCATAGTCTCCTGCTGCCAGAGAGACGTAGATCTGAGTGTCATCTGCATAATTGTGGTAGGACACGTTATTGCTGCTTATTAACTGGCCTAATGGCAGCATGTAGAGATTGAACAACAGGGGGCCCAGGATTGACCCCTGAGGCACCCCACAGGTCAGGGCCATGTCATCTGAGACACAGTTTCCAATTTCAACAAAATACTTCCTGTCTTCTAGATAGGACTTGAACCAGTTTAGTACAGTACCAGAGATGCCCACCCAGTCCTCTAGTCTCTGTAAGAGGATCCCATGATCGACAGTGTCAAAAGCAGCACTCAGATCTAACAGGATCAAGACTGAGACTTTGCCTGCATCAGTGTTCAGGCGAATGTCATTTGTCACCTTGATAAGAGCAGTCTCAGTGCTGTGGTGGGCTCTAAAACCTGACTGGAAAACATCAAAGGAGTTGTTCATTTGGAGAAAGTTCGTAAGCTGTTGGTAAACAGCTTTTTCAAGGACTTTGCCAAAAAACGGCAGATTTGAGATGGGCCGGAAATTGTTCAGTACTGTGGCATCAAGACTGCTCTTCTTTAGGAGAGGCTTAATGACCGCAGTTTTCAACGTGTTTGGGAATGTTCCAGATTGAAGTGACATGTTAACTATGTGAGTGAGTGGTGAAAGTAAACTGTTGAGGACAGACTTTAGAAATCTAGTGGGTAACATGTCCAGGCAGCAAGTAGATGAACTCAGACTGGTAACGATCTCTAAAACAGTTTTGTCAGTTACAGGTGCAAAGTGATTCAGCTCTAAGTGTCTCTGTGGCTGCATGCTTGTTATTTGTGTTGTGGAATTGATGGCATTTTTGATGCCCTGAACTTTGTCATTAAAGAAAACTGCAAACTCATTACATTTAGATGTGGAAATTAGTTCTAGTGGCAGTGGAGCTGGAGGGTTTGTTAATCTGTTCACTGTTGCAAACAGGACACGAGAGTTGTTCTGTACATCCAAGGCCCATTGCTTTAGGAATGAATGTGATGCCAGATTTACCCTTTCAGCCAGGACCAACTGCTTTGACAAAACTTTACACAGACGAGTGGACCTTAAGAGCGTTTCCTATACCTATGCTAAAGGCACATTTTGAAATCCAAAATTGCTGCTGTGACCAATGACCGTGGCGGCTCTTAGGGATGTAACAATAACCAAAATATTGTGATATTGTATCGTCAAATGTCACAATATATCGAATTACAAGTTCCTTTGCTTAAATGCATGGTTTTATAGTAGCAATATCTCATAAACATCAGGAACTACATATCCCAAGATTCATTTCAGTGAGGACAACATGAAGACATTTTTTTTTACTTGAATTTTTTGGGTTATGATGGAAATAATTCACACAAAAATTTTTTCAAGGTTTTTATAAAGCAAAGCAAGAGATTTAGATATCGTTACATCCCATCTCTTTTGATAAATTAAAATGAAAAACTGCTGGTTAGTTTGTGACTGTAATGTTATTTGAGAGGGACTTGTTCACCTGTTGTAATTCTGGTCAGTTCTTTATGGTCAGATTGTGTTAAAAGAAAACTCAGATTGAAGTCTTAACAGGGTTTCAGACAGAGAAGTGCCTCCAGGTAGCATCACACTCCTAGAGAATGTTGATACCATACCAACTTTATTTATAAAGCACTTTAAAAACTTTACAGTAGGCCAAAGTGCTGTACACAAACACAGGACAGACAATGGCAACAACAGTAGAAGAAAATATATGGTACAAACACAATACAGTTACTGAAAAACATAGGAAACAGTAAAATACTCAACAAGAAATGTACATGTCACTTATTAAAGCCAGTGAAAAAAGGTGCGTTTTTAGGAGTGACTAAAAACAAGTACAGACTCGGCCTGTCTCATCTCTAATGGCAACTGGTTCCACAGCCAAGGGGCAGAAACAGAAAACGCACGGTCCCCATGAAGCTTACGCTTAGTTTTTGGGACGGCGAGCTGGAGTTGGTCTGCAGACCTGAGAGTGTGAGAGGGGACGTAAGGGATCAAGTCAGTGAAGTAGAAAGGAGCTCGGCCGTGCAAACACTTAAAAGTAAATAAAAGAATTTTAAAATCGACTCTAAAAGATACTGGGAGCCAATGAAAAGAAGCTCAAATCGTTGAGATGCTCTTGTGTTTCCGGTTTCCAGTTAAAAGTCGAGCTGCTGAGTTTTGCACACATTTTGCAACTGGCAAAGTGCATTTTGGCCCACACCAACATAAAGTGCATTACAATAATCCAATCTATTAATCACAAACACATGTATGACAGTTTCGAAGTGTGACAAAATAGGCTTAATTTTGGCCAGTTGTCTTAGTTGGGAAAAAAAACTAGATTTTACAACAGCACTAATTTGCTGATCAAGTTTTAGATCTGGGTCCATAGGAAAAGAAGAATTTAAAGAGCTAGGGCCAAAAACTCCATCTGTTACCATCTGTTGCAAAGTGTCAACACAAGTAAAACATAAAAAAAAAAAAAAAAAGAATTACGCAGATTATTAACTTTTGCCCTGTTTTGACATGAGCACAAGAGGTAAAGATTATATATATATATATATATATATATATATATATATATATATATATATATATATATATATATATATATATATATACACATATATATATATTATATAATATACATATATAAAATATGGTGTCATTTCAACTTTTGACTTGATACGTGATACTGGAGGAAATTTCACCATGACGACAAATGTTGTTGTTACTCAAACAGGACCTCGAAGGTTCTTAGGAAGCCAGAGAGTTGCTAAAACAAATGGACCCAGCCATAGTTCAGCTAAATGTCACCACCTCAGGGATTATTTATTGACTTTTCAACCAACTTTCCAGTTCTGGCTAATGAGTAAGAAGGTCAGTAGTTAATGTTTGTACACCATTGACCAGAGGTGGTAGAGTAACCAGAAACTGTACACAAATAATAGTAATGCTATTTAAATATATATATAATATTACTCAAGTGGAAGTACTAAGTAGTGGTCTAGGAAATTTGACTTAGACAAACTTTATTGATGCAAAAGGGAAATAATTTGGACACAGTAGCTCATACATTGCAATATAATATAATAATAAATAGTAAAAAATATAAATGTAATAATAAATTCTAATAGAAAAGATAGCAAGAAACAGGTGTCAAATAACACATAATTATATAAATGTAAATGTACAAATCAAAATAAATCACAGGAAGACAGGGCTTAAGTGAAATTGCTCAGGTAAAACTACTGTTTTCAAAGGATGGAGACAAAAATGACAAAAACTAAATCAAATCTGAAGAAGTGATGCAAGAAACACAAACGTTCAAATCATTCCAAATATTCAACATAAAGCTTTTGTCACAGACTTACTCACAGTGGGAAGAGAAACCAAAACTTTTACTAAGTAAAGTACGGTAACTGTTGCTGGGGAACCATTTATGTGACCACAGTACACTCATCATCTCCTGATCTCTAACTCTAAGATCTTAGTCAAGCCAGCCTGGTCAGATCTGTGAAGAGATTAGTCCATTGGACACTGGAATGCATGTTTTGACTTGACAAGATACCATCCATCCATCCATTTTCGTCCACTTATCCGGGGCCGGGTCGCGGGGGCAGCAGCCTAAGCAGGGACTCCCAGACTTCCTTCACCCCAGACACGTCCTCCAGCTCCTCCGGGGGACAAGATACATTTAATTAAATACTGTGGAACACTCCAAGCAAAGACATAATATTCCCGCCTCCCAGAAAATTTGCATTGTAAACTACTTATGAAATAGTAAAATAGTAAATACTTATGAATGTTTTTATTTTAGTGTCGGCACTATACTCAAATTTCAAACTCTGTTTCAACAAGTATCTCGGGGTCTTTTTCTCGAGTGAGAGGAGGATGGAACGTGAGATTGACAGGCGGATCGGTGCAGCATTGGCAGTGATGCAGTCGCTGTATCGGACTGTTGTGGTGAAGAGGGAGCTGAGCCGGAAGGCAAAACTCTCGATTTGCCTTCAATCTACGTTCCTACCGTCACCTATAGTCATGAGCTCTGGGTAATGACTGAAAGCACAAGATTGTGGATACAAGTGGCCAAAATTAGTTTCTTCTGCAGGGTGGCTGGACACTCCCTTAGAGATAGGGTGAGGAGCTCAGTCACACGGGAGGAGCTCGGAGTAGAGCCGCTGCTCCTCCACGTCGAGAGAAGCCAGTTGAGGTGGCTCGGGCATCTGTTCCGGATGCCTCCTGGCCACCTCCCTTGGGAGGTGTTCTGGGTATGTCCCACCGAGAGGAGGCCCCGGGGAAGACCCAGGACACACTGGAGGGACTATGTCTCTCATCTGGCCTGGGAGGAGGAGGAGCTGGAGGAAATGTGAAGGAAGTCTGGGAGTCCCTGCTTAGACTGCAGCCCCCGTGCCCCGGCCCCAGATAAGCAAAAGAAAATGGATGGAAAATATACTAGGGAACTAACTCGATTATCAGTACCAATTCCAGTACCACTAAATAACAATATCAATTAAAAACATATATATATTTTTTAAAATCTTTTTCTCAACTCTTTTTTTAGACAGTAGAATCTTATTTTTTACATAAAATCATGGACTTTTCTTTTATATTCACCTGTGGTCTTATATCTGAGTAATCCCACAGTGATCCATGGGCGTATACTAGTTTTTGTGCTCTTAGACTTGTTCTGATTCAGCTCAAAATAAAGCTTGAGCTATTCAGGAAAGGTTCATTTCTGTCCTGTGAATGGTGTTTTTTTTTTTTATTGTTACCTGTTCAAATGAGTATCTAGATTTGATACTAGTTTTAGTATCGATGAGCATTTACTTTTCAATATTTTACTGTACTTAAAATGTATCTATGTCCTCTCTCTCCAGACTTAACGCCAACTATGTGCACTTTGTCGCCATCTCCGAGCCAAAATTCGGCCAACAGCAGCATCGAGGCACAGTGGACCCTCTCTCTCTCTCCGATCCTCTAGAGAAGACCACCTTCTCTCCACACCTGTACACTCACTTTACACAGCAGGGACCAAGCAGACAGGTGAAAATGTGCCCACGCGACCACACACCTCGGCAATCTGAACAGGTTCCCAACGCCTCAAATTTGCGATATTTTTAGCGCTGTAGATATCGTGTACACCAGGGTTTCTTTTTGTAGCTGTTCTGATGATATTAAAACGTGGAAAGGACGAGATTTAAATTCCAGTTAACTAGACTGGACGTGAAAAGTCGTATTCAGAAAATCGACCGTCCATTCAAGGCGGTTTTAACTTAAATTTGTAGAAACATAAATAAGCTACTAGTAAATAAGTTCTCAGGTTACTTCAATCATTTAAATATATTGTTCAGACCAAATGTTTTAAGTAGCGTAAACTGTGCAAAAACATCGCTTAAAATGTAAAAAGAAATATTTCCGATTTTCTACCTCCAAATCAGGCAACTTTGATGATAACGACACTGTGATTATAAAATTTGGCAAAGGCAAAAAGTAAAAATTAAAAAAATCAATAAAGGTTAAAGATTTTTTTTCCAAAATTTGCCTGGTCCATTCTTACAACGTGGCATTATGGGTACTGGAGTCCTTGTGTAGCTAGTGCTATAGTGTTTTTTACTGGACCTATGTCAGCTTTATAGAGGTGTGGCTAATGTATTTTCAAAAATGTAAAAAGCAAACAAAAAAATATGTTTATTTTTTTCATAATTTTGTTTTAACACGCATAGAAAGTGACATCTTTTTATGTTATCACTCATTTGTAATTTTATTTACCAGATCAAGTCATTGTTGTTTTTACAGTTTGAAATGTGTATATAGTTCAAAATATAATGTGAAGAGAATGGAAATTTAAATCAAATTAAAATCCAGATATGAATTTGAAATGATGAAACCAAATTGTTTCCTAAAAAGCATTACTTTTTCAAAAATGTGTACAAATTTCTAAAGGATTTTATCGGCTGCTTGGTTAAATTACCACAACAATACTGACACAAGCAGTGGTGAATTTTATTGTTAATTCTGAATTAAGTGAGTATTTTTTTTTTGTTTTTTGTACTTTCATTATCAAAAATAATATTCAAAATTATACCAAAATATTACCTCCAATTTGTTTTTTAGCTCATTCTTCACATTTTCACCTCTCTGTTTCACCCTGTCTGCTGATGTTTTTATTTTTATTATTTAAATGTTCTCTCAACATTACTGTATTACATGTATTACGACCAATAACTTCAGAGTATCTTTGAAGTATCTTTCTGTGGTGTTGGAAATAGTTTTTTGCTGTGCAACAATGTTCAACAACCAAAAAGTTTAAGCTGGTGTACACGGGCAATTAATATAACAGGCATATATTTACTATAATTCAGTGGTTACGGACACATGACTCAAGGATGTTTTTTCTGTTGGTTTCTCTAATGTTTCATATAAAAATCAAAAACAACAAAAACGTTCAGGTGAAAACATCAGGACTGAAAATATTTTTTGATGGGAAAATAACATTCCGTCTACAATTACCCTTATTATGAAGGATTACTGCTTCTGTAATTCGATGAAAAGTATATTTAGTGAATTATGTATGACTTTTTGCATTGTTCGCTATTTGGTTTGTTCCAAAATAGCATCTGCTGTTAGGAGCCAAATGCAGGTAACTGAATTGTAGGATATTTGAATGAATAAGGAGAGGAACAACACTGGAGGGTGTCGTTAGAAATCAAATTTAATAAAGAATGTACCACGTCAAATACCCTTCCCTTAACTTCTACTCATAACAAACACACATTTTGTTAAAGTACCAACCATTGAAATTCACTTTTTTGTGTGTCAATTTTTTTTCTGCCCTCGTCTATTGATTTACTTTGATTGATTTCATACACAACAAGCAAATTTGATTTAGTCTGAATTCAAAATCAGTTGTTTGTAAGTTGATTTTGAATTTGTACTGATGAAACAACACATATAATGATACACAAATTTGCACTTGTAGACTGATACTACCTGTCAAGATTTGGCATATTTTAAACATTTTTTATTCAAACTAAACGGGGGGTTGTTACTTAAACTTTGTCACCAAAACGATTTGAAATGTCCTGCGTATTACCCATTTTACAGCATGGCTCATTTGCTTTTAGTCTTGATTATTAGAGTATTTTACAGATTAAAAGGTAAACCCCCGCAGAATGTTGCTGTTTTACAAAGGGTGGACATTTTTTATGTTTTAGTCAATAGGTCGGCCTTCTGATTTCACGTACATCTGCTCCTATTTCTGAGTTACCCGCACACTTGAAAACAGTCCTACAAGCACAAACTTTACAATACAGGAACACATTATACAACATCCAAGGTGTGCATATTTTACAGTGAGACGCTGTCAATAAGATGTGCAAACTTTTCTGTTTTTTTTTTACATTATTTTTTTTTGTTCAAAGGCTACTGTATGTCTGGAAGTCCAAATGCAGTTTTCTTTTGGAATGTCTGTGAATATCTTTCTCATATTTGCTTAGATACTGACCTCATATTCAGTAAATAGAAGTCAAACCAAAAAAAAGTCTGGTTGGAGTGACAGAAAAATGTACAAACAACCACCAAGAATATTTTTGATTAAACTAACAACCTGGAAATTGTTTGGAAAATCTTAAGGACAGACATTTTCCTTCTAAATTTCAGTTTCGAACTACACATTTGTATCGATTACGCTATAACGTTGTTCAAAAAATTCCAATTCTCACACCAGGCTGTCTTTTGTGTCTATGGACCATGCCAAACCTTTTATATTTGAAATCAACAATGAATCAAATGACCTTAAAGCTACCATGTGTAATTAGATTGGCTGACCCGCCCCGTTGTATTCTCACATGCTACCACTAGATGCTGTCTACGTTACAGCCGTCTGACAATGTGCCAGCTTTGGGATCACAGAACAAGATCAGAGCGCACAGGTGATGAAAAAAAAATCAAATTAACGTACAGATGGTAGCTTTAAGTAACGTAAAATACTGAACTGACAGTAGCCATTTTGAGGTGTGTCCTTATAAAGTACTTGATATTACTTCTGGGGCGGGGTGGGCCGTACGGGGGAGGGGCTTAGACACAAATAAAAATCTATTGTTGTGTTCCTGTGTTCTAAATCTGTATGTACTCAAAAGGATGACCATTGTTAGTTTTTGTAGCTTTTGTCACTATGGATAAGGAACAGTTTTTATTCTCGCTTGTTTCGTTTTGTTTATTTTGCGCCCCCTGCTGGAGGGCGCAGCTGCCATCTATTATCATTACTGTATTGCGCTCTGTCTCTCCTTGTGTCGTGGAAGGCTTTTCTTGTGCTTGATCAAGTTCATGAGCGGAATTAAAAATTGTTACAACAAAAACCTGTGGTCGTGATTTTGTTTGTTTACGTCTGTGTTTGTTTATGTTGGTGAGAATCGAAAAAAGCAGGTATTGGTCCGTGTGTGTGGGCTTCCTGAAGACCTGGAGTCGCCGGTCTTCTCCTATCATTACTGCAGAATCTAAGAAAGCCAATTTGTTCTACTTGGCATCTTCATGAGTGAATTTAATGTTCGGATCTAAGGTGGAGGTCTTCAGGAAGCCCCACACACACACACACACACGGACCAGTACCTGCTTTTTGATTCTCACCACCCACTGCAACACAAACTTGGAGTTATTCGGACACTACAACACAGGGCTCAAGTGGTTCCTACAAGCACAGAGGGAAAGGAGAAAGAAGAACAACATGTGTAGAAAGCCCTCTCTGTTTTGGGGCTTTCAGCAAAACAAAGAGCTAAAAAAAAAAAACAGGACAACAGAGAATCAGAACCCAGGAGAAAGAGTGTAACTATTTCTCACATGGCTGGTGTTTCTGAAAAACTACAGAGGATTTTCAGACTACATGAGATCCCGGTCTATTTCAAACCTACAAACACTTTAAGACAGAAACTGGTCCAACCCAACACAGAGCCACAAACAAAGCAACGTGGTCTACTCCATTCAGTGTAGTGAAAACTGCAGTGAGCGCTACACTTAAGAAACAAAACAGCCACTTGACAAGAGGATGTACCAACACAGACGAGAGAGCAACACAGGACCTCAGTCTGCTGTACATTTCCACTTAAAAGCCAAGCCTCATTTGAGAACAGTTAGCTACAGATCTTAGCCAGAGAAAAGAACTGGTTCAAGAGGGGAGTTAAAGAAGCTATTTTTGTTAGGAAAGACAATCCATCTTCGAACAGAAATGGGGGACTCACACCATCTGTCTCCTGTTTATAATTCTATCCTCAAACCTAAATCAAAAAAAGCAAAGAAAACAATACGGGCAGCCAGGTCAGGCCCAGACGTGTGAAAGCTCCATTATGGCCATGAATGATTCTGTTAATATGACCAAACACTCAGAGCAATAGGCCCAACTAACTAACAGAAACTAAACAAGGAGTTGTGTTAGTTTCAGAGTAGTTTCATTGTAGTTAACTCAGACAGACATAAGGAAGTGTCCACCAGCATTTTGACCAGAACTGAAGAAGCAACTTGGATGAGCTGCGAAACGTCTTCAATCAAAAAAACGTTTGTCCAGTTGATAAATTGAATTTCTCCTTTTGTCATAAATTCTACCAGGATGACTACATAAATCCATATTGTTAAAAAATGCATATGACAGATTTGTTTTTCTTTTTTTTCTAAATATTCCGGTATGGTGCATAGACTGTATGGACATAGCTAATGTGCTAAAAAAAAACACCAATGTGACAGATCAGAAAATAGTTTAATATATCTATTTACTCATCTCCTCCTCGATTCTTTTCTTAGATTCTGCAGGAAACGGTTGAGGAAGTTCACCCACCCACAGAGGACACACAGCACGCGAGGACATACGTATCTTATACTTCTTACCTCAGATCAGACATGTCAGACTCAGGCCCGGGGTCCAAATTTGGCCCACAGTATAATTATATTTGGCCCGTGAGCTCATATCAAATATACATTAGAGCTGCCCGCCGACTGCCACGCCAGTATGGCTCATGCACTGCTAATACTACTACTACTACTACTACTACAACTACTACTACAACTACTACTACTACTTTGATGAACTTGTATCTAAGAAGAGATGCCAAGTATTTGTATGTGTATCAGAGTAAATCATAGTCTAACAAACTGAGGTTGGATGAATGTTGTCTTTATGATTCTTGACTGTTCATAGTTAAAAGATTGAATTTTCATTGAAGCAAGTTGTTATTTTTCACGGGTTGTTGGCTTGTGGAAAAAAAACAATAGTTCAAAAGTTACAGATAGGCTATAGAGACATTCTTTATTTCAAATTTTGTTATATTTTATATTATGCTTGTTCCGGGTTCAATGTTTAAGCAAGACTATTATTAAACATTTATTTTAAGGAGAAAAGGTTCAACATTACATAAAAAGAAGAGAAAACATGCACATGTTGAAATTTTTCAAATGTCACTGAACTATTTAGATAAAACTGACAAAATGCAAATTGAATGAAAACGCTTCAGGATATTTTCCTTCTAAATTTCAAGTTTGAAATACATATTTAGTATTTACTCTATAACATTGTTCAAAAAAATGCAATTTTCCATGCCAGACAATTTATATTTGAAATTAATAATCACCACAAGGAGAGAAGCAGAGAAGCAAAACAGAGGAGGAGCTGAGCTCAGGGGAAAGGAGCAGAGAAGAGAGAGAGGAACAAAGGAGAGAGGAGCAAGAGGAGAAGAACTGAGCAGAGGAGCCGAGCTGATCAATAGTCAGTGGAACAACCTTTCCTCAAGTTCTGTCCAAAATGACCCGTTACTGAGAACTACACTTAAGCTTATGTTCATATTATTACACTTGGACTTTTAATTCAAAGTCAGACCAACATTTGTTTGTATTAGTTTTAATGTCAAATGTAATACAGTCCCTGACAAAAATCTTGTCGCTTATCCATTTTGTAGAATTAAAAGCTTATAACCTGACTTTAAATTAATCAATTGGTTTTAGAAACGTCTCATATGAAAGCTAAAACCCTCCCAAATTATGCTCAATATACTAAAATAAATTTGCTTCACTGAAGAAAGATTGATCATTTAATAAACACAGAAAGGTCAGATTTTGGCAAGACAAAAGTTTTGTCGCCTACAGAAAATTGAACAAATAATTTACTTCAAATACAAAAATATGTTGCATAACGTCAGTGAATGAAGTAGTGGTGCTGTGAGATCCATATTTAATATCTTGGATGACTTCCATGAGCTTGAAGGACGCATCCATGCGGTTCGACAATGATTCATACAATTTGTTGATGAAGTCATCAGGAATAGCAAAGAAAGCGTCTTACATGCCTCCCAGAGTTCATCAAGATTCTTTGGTTTTGCCTCCATGCTTCCTCTTTCATTCTACCCCAGACATGCTCAGTGATGTTCATGTCTGGTGACTGGGCTGGTCAGTCCTGGAGCACCTTGATCTTCTTCACCTTGAGAAACTTTGATGTAGAGATAGAAGTAAGTGGAGCACAATCCTGCTGCAAAATTTGACCCCTTTTATGGTTGGGAATGTAAGAGGAGCTAATACTTCTTGATATTTTAGGCTATTGATATTTGCCTTCCACCCTGCAAATGTCTCGCACACCCCCATACTGGATGGAACCCCAGACCAGGATTTTTCCGCCACCAAACTTAACTGTTTTCTGGGTAAATCTTGGATCCATGAATCATGGGCTCCAGTAGGTCTCCTGCAATATTTGTGGCGGCTGTGATGTAATTCAACCGAGGATTCATCTGAGAAATCCACCTTCTGCCACTTTTCCAGTGTCCATCCTTTTAGCAGGCTGTTGGCCTTGGCAAAAGCAACATGTTTTTTTTATTGCCTTTTGTTTAGTGCTGGTTTCTGTGCACTGATTCGACCATGGAGGCCATTTCGAGACAGAATTCTACAAACTGTTCAGGTTGACACAGGGACTTGAGGTGACCAGGCCTGGTGGAGTCTGCTGCAGTGGAAAAGGGGCTGGCCTTGGATTTTCTAATCAACAAACGGTCCTCCCGAGTAGTTGTCTTGCGGGGTCTGCTGGACCTGGGCTTGTCAAAAACATCTCCAGTCATTTCAGATCTTTTTCTTATTCTTTGTACTTGACGCTGAGACACATTGAAGGTGTCACCACCTCAGCAGTGGATCTGGTCTTCAGCCTCTTGATAATTAACGCTTTGGTCTCAGGGTGGATCTTAGGCATGTTGTCAGAGGTCAAGCTGCAGTTGATGTGAAGGTCTGGTGTGCTGGGCTTCTTTTTATACACACCCACTAATTGATTGATCAGTAACTGATCACAGGTGAGGCTGTAATCTAGGAGTGGGTGCATCATATGACAAGGCGACAAGACTTTTGTCTTGCCAAAATCTGACCTTTCTGTGTTCATTAAATGATCAATCTTTCTTCAGTGAAGCAAATTTATTTTAGTATATTGAGCATAATTTGGGAGGGTTTTAGCTTTCATATGAGACATTTCTAAAACAAATCAATTCATTTAAAGTCAGGTTATAAGCTTTTGTTTCTACAAAATGGATAAGCGACAAGACTTTTGTCAGGGACTGTATTATGTAATACAGTAAGTCAAACATCCTTTGCTGCTGTTGGTCATGTGTTCTTTGTGGTTTCCTTCCCCCACTCATGTTTCATTTGTAGTTTCCTTCCTCTTTTTTGGCAAAAATAGCTCTTTATTTACCATTCTCCAAAAGCAAAAGCAACATTTTTATCTGTAATACATAACCTCCTCATCTCAGTGTGCACATCATACAAGAATATTCAGATGTTTGGTGACTTCAGTGTACATCACGACGCTCCCTCTGGCTATTTTTCAGTTGAATTTAAACAGTTCTTGGTCTTCCTCAATCTCCAGCAATGTGAGAATGTCTCCACACACAAGAAAGAAGAATACTTTGAATTTTGGTCATCACTGACTCCCACTCCAGTCACGAACCCTCCCGTTGAAAAAACAACAACATTCAGAAATCTTAAGAACATTGATTCCACTTCTCTCAGCCATGATCTACAGGTTCTCACTCCACCTCCATACACATCAGTCGCTCACCTGGTGGATTTTTACATCCTCCTTCCTGGATTCTCATTTAGGCAAATTCAAGGTCCGGCTGTGTCCTGGAGTACTGTATTTTCCGGACTATAAATTGCTCCAGCGTATACGTCGCTGTTAGAATAATTGTATATATTATCCCATATTTGCTATATTTGCTATGTACCATTCTTTGTGAATTTGAATAATCTTTTGTGCTTGGAAACTGTATGCAGTCACGTGTGAGCAACGGCGATTCAGCTCTCGGTGCATGAGAACAGACCACTTTCAAGGCTGCACGGAGAAAACTGTGTC